TGAGGCATCGCTGCAATGAGCAGATGACACCGCAGATGATATGGTGAGGTGGGCACTGACCCATCGCCCAGAGGGATGGAAAGTGGGACTGCTTAGGACACTGAGCAGAGAGGCCAGGTCGCACAAGGACATCCCAGGGTTGCTTGGAGGGTGAGGGTGTGCGTAAGGGTGAGGGTCAGCACCCATCCAACCACATTATCTGCTTATTTCATCACAGCCTCACTTGATCCTGGTGGCTACGCTAGGCAGGGGCTGGAACGGCATGAGAGAAATAGCTTACACGGTACACACCCTCTGCCAAGGGCTATACCTGCACTCTCATTTATTTTTGCATCAATCTTATTGTAAGTGAGGAAATGGGTCACTCAGCTTGGAACAACCAGCTATCTCAGGCAGTAAGTTTCCCAGGGTACAGGGAGCCCCCAGTCAAGACACTTGACTTGGAAAGATCAGGGAAGGTTTCCAACACTGTCTGAAACTGAGATCAGAGGATGAGTGATTAGCCAGAGAGGTGTAACAATGTGCCAGGCAAGCAGCTGGGAAGGAACCGGCCAGAGAGAATACTGCTGCCCTGCTCCCCATGTAGTATTAAGACTTATCTCCAACGGAAAAATATTTACCTTCTTTGCTAGGACCCTGCTCCTGTTTATATGAATGTCTAGTCTGCTTCATCAGAGATCAAAGCCTTTGCATTTTCTCCTTCAGCTTTTGCATCAGTCGTGACAGCTCACTTCAAAGATAACCGACTGTTGGTTTCTGAAGGTTTGTTCACATTTCTCAGTCTGTAAATTTCTGAAAGCTGGAACCCATCTTTCTTTCTTTCCCACTTTACTTAGCATAGTAGCTTAGTAAATATTTGCTAAATAAATGAATAAAGTGAGGGCATCATTTAGCCTCAGAAACAAAGTACAGCCTCATGCAAGTCTTACTGGTTTATTTGGGTCCTTTGAAATGCTAGGGTTTATTCTCATCAAGCTTAGTATTGTATTTGTACTGACTATTTGTTACAAATTTTCTATCATGCCTCAGCTCAAATATATATTCTATGTATATAACATACATATGCATATACAAATATATGAATGTTATATACATATTAATATTTTTTCCTGCCTGGTAAAAATGAGGACAAATCTTCAGAGATAAAATCTGACACTCAGTTCTTATCACACACTCAGAGGGTGCATTCAGAATGGCCATGCTGCTTACCCAGGTGGAAGGGGTCTCCAAACCTACCTCCCCATCTAAGTATCTCAGGAGATGCTGATTTACTGCTCTGAGAACAAGTCTGGGCACTGACATTTTTTATAAAGCTCCTCAGGTGAATGTGCTATGTCACCATCACAGGGAGCCACAAAGTCAGAGCAGTGTGACTTTCTACCAGAGAGTGGGTAAAACGAACCAAGATGGCTCAAAGGGGCGAGAAACTCCTCAGCACTTACGGCAGGGCCAAGGTGGAGGAAGAAGACAGTTTTTCACATAACCTCCCTTAACTTGTCCCTGGCACGAGGCCCCAGCATCTCTGAACTCTGCTGGAGAACCAGAACATGTGGCTCATCCCAGGGTGGTAGTCAATGACCACAGACGCACTCTGACCTCACAGGCTTCACCCACACCCTCCCTCCTGAACGAGGGCAACAACATAATATGGTTTTTATTACCCAGCTGCAAGCAAGGGCCTTCATACTGAGTGGTCAAAAAGAAGAGAAAAAGAAAACGATCCCTTTTTTTGGCACCAAAAGTAAGGAAGGGGTGACCTTCTCTGTCTGCTCCAGACAGGAAGAGAAAGTTAGCTGGTCCCCAGGGGAGAACTGGGGTCGGGGGTGGGGCAGCAGCAGTATGGTGGAGGGAAGTGAATGAGACCAGCGGGCTTTGTCAGGAGCCACCTCCTATCACACTGCCTGTTCCCACCGGGCTGGAGAAAAGTAGTCAACGGTGGGTGGCATTGGGCTGGGGATATAGCTCAGCGGTAGAGCCTTGGCTAGCGTGCATGGGGTCCTGGGTTCGATTCCCAGCACTGGAAAACCAAGGAGGAGGAAGAGGTAGAGAAGGTACAGGAGGGGAGGGAGAGGAGGAGGAAGAGCAAAAGTGTCTTTATGTGGCTGGGGATGATCAGAGCAGAGTCTGAAACTGGCATCTTTGTGTACAAGCAGACGTTGTACACAAGGGTGTGTGTGTGACGTGCATGCGTGTGTGCGTGTGTGCATGTGTGTGTGTGTGTTTCTAAGGGAAAGAGTTCTATTTTTCATCAGTTTCCCAAAGGTTAAGGATGACAACTGGACCTGAGCAACGTCCACTCTAAACAAAACACCTATTTGTCAGATTTGTCCAACTGCAGGTAGCAGGGCTGGGCCTCAGCAGATTACAGAAGTAGCTGACATTCATTCTTGTGCTCAGCTTGTCTGCCCAGAGCTCCCACTCAAGCTTCCTCATCCTCAGATGGCCCAGGCACTGCGAACTGTCACCAGCTCCGTCCTTCACTCCACTTTGGCCTTTCTTCCTCTGTGCAGGCACAGGGTGCTCTTTGTTTCTCTACATCTCTGCTCCTCCCTTCGGCCCTTGTGCTCCCAAGCTTGCATCCATTTTTTCCATTTCTACCCGGGTCCAGCGCCCTGCCCTTGACCCACAAAGTTCAGTGACTATGATGTCAGTCTTGAGAGACCCTTGCCAGCCTCCTGGCTACTGGTTTCCACCCTGATTTGTCACCCAGAGTGTTCTAAGCTGGGAGCAGAGTCCAGGCCTTGTCTATCGTGTGTTTCATAAGGTCCATGGATGCCATATTATTTTCAAGGAAACGAACAGCACCAACTTTATCACTACCACACTATAAGAGAAAACTAGCTAATTTGTTTTAGCTGTGTGTGTGCTCGCGTGTGAGAGAGAAACAAAACCTAATTACTCCCATTTACAGGAGCTGCTTATCATGCATGCTTTAATTTCCATGTAATTTCCACTCTAAGGTATGTGGGTCATTATGTGTGTCAGTGGCCTTTCCTCCAGCGTTGACCTCTATTTAGGTGTGTTCAGTCTTGAACGTTTGCTGACCCTGTGCAGGGCAGTATGCTTTCAATTTAGGGGGGGAAATCATTCATAAAGAATGTGGCTTAGCTGTAGAAGCAAGGGAAGGAACAGGGGTCTGACGGGTCAGGCTCCTCTGTATCTTTCATCTCCTTAGGTACGTCCACTTACTTCCCTGGGCTTCCTTTCCTCCTTCTCACTGTGGAAAGCCCTGAGCACTGGCTTTCTATTTCTTTTCCCTTAAGATGTAGTTCCCTTCCTTGTTTTTCTAAATGAAACATGTAGATGCCCAGTGTACAAAGCAGGTAGAAGGTCAGCTGCCTCAGGGTGCTTCTGAGGTATCCTCACAGAACCTCCAGGCTCAGGTTCATCCTATGATGTATGACTTTGTAAGAATGCGGCAGGGCCAGCAAGCGCCCCTATGCAGCTCTCACTCACAGCCTGGGAGGGAAGGCCTAGAATAATACCCACATGTGGAAGGCAGCTTGCTCGGAGCATTCCTAGTGTACCTGGAGGTTAACCTGAAGGCCCCTGCAAAACCAGGTGGAGGGAAACATTTCATTCTAAATGTCTGGCCATAGTGCGTAAGATGTACACTGGAAGTCTCTTAATATTAAAAGCAAAAAAACTCAATCCGAGGGATGTTTTTTTTCTTCAAATCAACCTCTCCAGATCGCTGGTGAAAAGGAAATAAATCGACTGTTATGCCTCAATTTCAAAAGAGGCAGTTTTGGAAACTGTGGTTCCCCAAGCTCCAAAATACTAAGCCATTTGTCCTAATGACACAGCAGACTCCGAACTCTCGAATACCGCAGGAATATCACACTACTGCAAATTACTGGGGGGTGCTGACTCTTCAAAAAAAAGGAAGTGAAACAAAAGCCCTGCACTGTTCTCAAGATGTGTACTGGATGTGCACAAATGGAATGGTTTTGGAGATTATTTTCCTGGAGGCAGAATTATTCTGCATAGTTAGACAGCCCTTAAGTTTCCCCTTTGTTGTATCTGTCTATGTGTAAACACACAGCCCCTAGAGTGGGCTCTCTTCTCTCACTGACGCTTCCCAAGACAAGGCCTTTTTGTATAAGTAAGTGCAGGGCCAGTCAACCTTACAAAAGGAGTCATTTAATGCTCAATTTTCCCAACTTTCCTATGATTAAAAACTTCTAATCTCAAATGCCCTTATTGTACTCCAGATTGTTTTCTTTTTCCCTGCCCCCAACAAATGTTTAAATTGTCTCTACGCTGCCGGCCCCCAGTTTTTTCAAGCTGACCTTGAAAACCGAGACACTCTCCTTCTCTCTTACATACCCTCAACTATTTTAAAAATCATGGCCCTTTGACCTTTTTACAACACGTCTTTTGCCTACCACGCCAAATGCGATGCTGAAAGCCCAGCGGAGGTAAAGGGTCTAGAGGAAGGAGGGGAGACTTATATTTGGCATCAGCTCAGAAATTCGGAAAATGTTTGTACAACCACTCCCCCAGCCAGGATCCCTACCCCCACCCCACCCCACCGCCTTCTAGCACATTAATGAAAAAGGACGTGCGTGGATGAAATCGGAGAGTCCAGGAGGGACAGCGAAGGCGGTCACACTGTACACCAGGGAAGCCCACTGACCACCGTCCCTCACGTCCACCCCATTGGTCCCTTCCAAAATCCAAAGTTTCGGCTCCGAACTTCTTCGGCTGCCGCCCCCACCCCTGAGGTGGCCAGTTACATTTGCATGAACACCGTCCGCCCGCCCGTTAGGGGCTTGGCTGAGGCGCACGGAACGACCATCGCAGCCCCTGCCCGTCGGGGTGGCAGCTCTGTGCACCTAAGACTCAAGTATGTTCTTAAAAGAAACAGTACTAAAGAAAAAAAAAAGGACAACGAGCGCACAAGCCTGGAATACATTAACTTGTGAACTGAATCCAACACACCCCAAGAGAACCCACCGCTCTCTCCAACAAAAGGGGGGCGGGAGCAGGCACTTTACCATCCTGTCCTGAGCTCTCCAGATACTCCGTCAGGTCACAGCCAAACGCGCTGGCGGCTCCCTTGCGTTTCACCTTCTGCTTGGCACCCTTGTTCTTCATGAGGTAGTCCCGCAGAGGCTGCCTCGGTGCCCCTCCCTCTGCGCGGCTCCGCGGACGGCGGGCTCCGGTGGTCACGGGCTGCTGCGCGGCGCCGGGGTCCGCATGGGCGAGGCGAGGGCGCTGCGCTGCGCTCGGGGCCAGGGGCCGCCCGGCGCGCTCGGGGTGGCCGCGCGGAGCTGGCGCTCGCTCGGGAGTGTCACTTCCTCCCTGGCGTCCCGGGACTCTCCCAGGCTCCCGCGGGCTCCGGGGCGCCGGTCCTCGCTCCGCAGGGAGGGCGAGCTCTCCTCCGTGCCCAGGGGCGCGCGGCGAGGGGCGCGGACACAGCCCCGGGGCCGCGCGGGGTCCTCTGCCCTGGGCCCGCGATCTGGCCTTCAGACAGCTCTGCAGGAGCGAAAAACAAGCATCCTGTCTCCCTCGCCCGCCCTCGCGCCTTCCTTTTTTTCCTGTCTCACAAGCCCTAAGATCATCCAGCTCAGGAAACGCTGGAAGGAAGTTAGCTAGGGAGGGGGGCGGAGGGTGGAAATTTTTGGCAGTTCCGCGCCCGTGTGAGTGCGGAGCCGGAGGAAGTAGGTGGGTGGGTTGACGAGTGCGGTGGGGGAGAGAAGGCGCCCTCCCGAGGGCCGGTCCGCGACGCCGGAGCTCTCCCGGGCGGCCCAGAGGAAGTCGCCGCGCTCCCCCGGGCCCGCAGCCCGGACCGCCCCGGAGGAGGTGCCCGGCGTTCCGCGGGGAGGGGCGAGGGGCTCCCGAGCCGGCCCGAGGCTTAGCCCCGCTGTCATCCCATCTCTGACACTTTCTATTTCAGTGCCTGCCTTTTCCCTCCACAAACGCTTAGAGTCAGGACAGAAACAAAGACAGGGACCCCGGCGGCGGAGGAACCTGCCGGGCAGTGGGTTCCCGCTGGCCACTCCCACTCCGCTCCCCCCACCCGGTAACCCCAAGGCCCTCCCCGCCCACCCTCGGGCAACCGCAGCCCGCGGGGAAGTCAGATTTCTAGTTGCAGGTCCAAGGGCACCGACAGGCGCGCCCAGGCACCCGAGCATCCTTGCGAATATAAATGATGGGGGCTGGGGGGCTGTCGGAGGTTTTAAGCAGCCCGTAGTTTAGCGTAATGTGGAGAAGGCAGTCTCCGGATTGTTTCATAACTTGTCTCAAGTTGTTTCAGGAGGGCTTGTTTTTCCTACTTCAGTTAGATTTGAAATTCCTTGACTTCTGTGTACTCAGCACACAGTAAGCACTCAAATTCTTGTGATTTAACCGTTTGAGGATGAGATTAAACTTCCCGTAGAAATTCAAATCCATATATAGGCTTGCAGCGTAGGTCTATACATACAGCTCCGATTGCTGGCCGAAGCTTTATGTACAGTACTTTAGTGAGTGACTGCTTTCACCGCCGCCTATGTGTTGCTGGTGACAGTTTATGAACTTTGACCCCCGGCCTTTCTGTAGGTCAGGTCTCAACCTGATAGCCACCCGACCAAATGTGGCACACAGATGTGTGTAAGCGGTTTGACACACGCTATGGTTTCATACTTTTAAAAAAATTAGTAGCCAGCATCAGAGTCAAGAGTTGGACAGGGGCTGGGGATTTAGCTCAGCGGCAAAAGCGCCTGCCTGGCAAGCGCAAGGTCGTGAGTTCGGTTCCCGGTACCGGAGAAAAAAAACCAAAAAAAAAAAAAAAAAAAGAGTTGGACATAAGAGGTCTGGATTTCTGCCTTCTCAACCTTCTCTTGCAAATATGGAAGATCTGGTTATACCGGAAGCGCTTTCCCATAGGCAAGGGCCGCCGATACCGAGAGTCTTTGGGGGCACTCCTTTGAGATGAACCTTCCGGGCTTGCAGCCCCAGCTGCCTGTCTTTCCCCCTTTGCAGCTGGCTGACCACTAAACCTACCTGATTTGCACCCCAAACCCTAAGCTCTCTATATAGTCTCTCCCCCCTTCCATTTTCCATCCCTGTCAGTGACACCAGCATTACCCAAACCTTCTTGGCCAGACATCTTCAAGTAACCACTGACTCATTTCTGTGCTTCCACCCCCACCTCCACACTAGTCCCGCCCAGATGATGAGTGCTTCAGAATGCCTCTCAGCTGGGGTTCTTCGATTCCAGGCCCACTGGAAAACATCATCTACTCCTCAGTTATTAGAATATTTCCGAGTGGGACTGGCTGAGGGCAGTCTCCTCCCACTTCAGCTGTTCTGCAGGAAAGAGGACTGAGGCATCTTCCTGAAGTATCGCTGCTGCTATGTGTCCAGTCACTCAAACTCCTTCAGTGAGCCAGGTGTGGTGCACACACTGGTAATCCCAGCACTCAGGAGGCTGAGGCAGGAAGATTGCAGTGAGTTTGAGGCCAACCTGGGCTACATAGTGAGTTCAAACCTTGCCTGAGATACATGGTGAGGCCCTGTCTCAAAACAAACAAACAAACAGCCTTCAGTGACTCCATTTCCCAGTGCCATGGCAGCAATTTCTAAGCATTCTGTGAGCTGCCAGTTTCCTAGGACGCAAGGTTATGTGGAAATAGTGGAAGAATGTTAACTCAAGGGGTAAATAAGGTATTTGGCAATAATGTAAATGAGGCCCAAAGTGCTTTCCTTTTAGGGAGATACCTTGGAAGGGTTCTGTGGTTGCGTACAATCTTGCTTATCTGTACCTGCTGAGGAATGATACCTCAAGAAGAGTGCCATCTGCTTCCTTCACGGCCGAGAATGCTAGCAATCATCTTTGCTGTAAGAAGGGATAGAAGACAGAGAGTAGCACTGGGCGTTTTAGTGTCACCTGTGATCTGAGCTTTTCTTTTACCCAGTTCATTCATAAAGATCAGACTCAGCTATCAGCAGTTTCAGCCTTTCTCCTCCTTTATTAGCAACTGATTAAATGCTCTTATGGGATTCTCCACCCAGGATGATGTGTATGAGCATGTTCTAATCCCATATTCCAGGGCTCATTCTCCGGCTGACTGTATCTCCTTCCCCACTTCCCTTCCATTCCTGCTGCTGCCCAGCTTCCCCTGCTTTGAAGGTGTCTGTGTGGTACCCCATGTTGAGACTGATGGGGAGTTGAGGCTCTTCTGTGAGACAGGCTCACCTCACCCTGTGCTGAGGACAGGAGAGGAGGAGGGTGACCAGAGCACAGGGGCTTCTAAAAAGTGATGTGTTCCAAGTTCCAGTACCGCAATTATCTGCGCACGGGTTCCTCGATTTAGGTCATGTTGCAAAAGTTGGCTTCTAAGAGTTTAAACGAAGTTGAGTAAGATTCCTTAGGGGCTGGAGCAGGTACAGAGGGCCACATTACCAATCCCTCGTCCAAAGCAACTGAGAGAAGGGAGCTCAGTGTGATGCAAAGGAAGGAATTCAAACCACAATCAGTCTCCCTCCATAAGACCCCAGTACTCTACCATCCCTGCAACTATGAAAGCCAGTGTTGCTTCTAAAAGGGCTTCAAGGGCAAGCAGGTGCAGTGATAAGAATGGGGGAGGAAGGGTGGTGGCCCAGGTCTGTAATGCCAGCACTCAAGAGGATGAGGCAGGAGGACCAAGAATTCAAGGCCAACCTGGGCTACACAGAGAGAGACCCTGTTTGAAGCTGGGCTGGACTACACAGACAGACCCTGTCTCAAAAAAACAAATGAAAAAGGAAGTGAGAGGAAAAGGACTTTAAATGGCCACTCTCAGACTAAATGTTGAAGAACAGACTTAGCCATTATATAATTCTCACTCTCATTATATATTTTAATTCCTTTTCAGTTACTGAAGTTGTAAAACTGCATTGGCCGATGAGAGAGAGAGAGAGAGAGAGAGAGAGAGAGAGAGAGAGAGAGGGAGAGGGAGAGAGAGAAAGAGAGAGAGAGGGAGAGGGAAAAGGAGAGGGAAAGGGAGAGAGTAAAGGGAGAGAGAGAGAGAAAGAAAGAGAGGGATAGAGGCTAGTATACATCCTCCCGTCCACGTCTCAGAATACAGTTCAGTTCTGGAGGCTAGTAAGTGCAAAAACTATTTCTTCTGAGAAAGATAAAATATACTTTTCTACACAACAAGGCCATATGAGAACAAAGAACAGGAGGAGATGTTCTTTGATAGTATAAAATGCAGGACTGAGTAGAAACTGGGAGGGTAGGATTAGAGAAGAGATGAAACATCTACATATCACATTTGAAATTATTTGAGAAAAAAATTTGCCCACCAATATTTTAGCTATACTCTAATTTCTTTGTGCTGAATACTGTATTGTTAGGAGAAGAGATCTCTTATGTGCTAGTGAGTGTTTTTAAAAAACCATAATGATATTTGATCCATATGCATAGTTTTGGCATTAAAGGACTCTTCAGGATTTCAGAAGCGATGATCAAACCAGACTGCAAAAGACCCCCTTGTCCCACTACCGCATGGGCCCTGGATCTGCCAAACAGCAGCAGGACACTTCCTTCCTAGAGCCACATGTGGAGAACGGACTTCACAAGCCCAGAGAGAGAGCCAAGTGTCCTGGGTTGAATTAGAATTGTACCCACATCTGAATCTGCTCAGCGTCCAGCCTCAGGCCCTAAGCCTGAATTTGGATCCCTTTGGCTTGAGGCCTCTGTTGAGGCTGTTCCTACAGGCCAGGCCGCAGCCTCCAGGGGCCTGGCAGATTCTGCTCTGAGGACCTAGCAGTGGGTTCTGGGGTCCCTCTCAGCGCTGGGTTTGAGGGATTTCTCTTACCCTCTGTGCTGTTGTTGGTGTTCCCCAACTGGACAGTCTTTGGGTAGAAAAACCTTCATTCCTCACAGAGTAGGAAGACATCAGGACAGAGACTGACAAGCCTACTGATTTCAGTCATGTTGATTTGGTTCTGTTACCTCATCCTGCCTCTGTATCCCCTTTTGCTCTGTCCCAAGCCTGCTTTGGGCACACCGCCTTCTTTCTAGCTCGAGGAAAGACAACCATAGGAGGAGCGGAACTGACGTTCTGCGCTCCATCTGTCTCCTTCCAGGGTGTCTGAACACTGGATCCGGTGATTTCTGAGGAGGGCGCCGCCCCGTTCATTGTGTTCCATAGTTTCCTGTACACTGCCTGTAACCCTTTACCAATCTGCCAGGCGCCTTTAAACACAAAAGGGAGGAGATGGGGGAAGGGAGTGCTGAGGAAAAACATCCCTATAAATAGCCCTCTTGAACAAAATTGTTTTCCCAATACACAGTTGTTGTTAGGCCTTGACGCCCCATTATCTCTCTCTGCATACTCCTCCCCTTCCACTTTGACCTCCCTCTCCAGGCGGGGTTTTCCTCCTCTGTCCGCTCTAGCAGAGGCACATGCTTGAAGGTTCTGATCCCCATACACCCCTCCCAGCTCACACCCAAACTGTGGGCTCAGATTGACCTGGGGTTTGTGTCTGACTCTATCAGTTATTTGTTTCCTGACCTTGGTTTGGGTTCATCCAATTTCTTGATGTCTCTTTTCCATTTCCCCATCATTTTCCTTGCCCTATATAAAACTCATTCGTGAGACTTTTACATTTATACCATTTTTATTTA